GCCGCCGCCTCCCTCTCCACGCACTCCGCAGCATCCTCAGGCAGGCAGGGCTGCCAGGGCCGGGCGCTTTGCTCAAACTTTTCCGACAGTCCCTAGGCAGCCACTAGTCCCCCCCCCACAACCTGCCCATTGTGCGATGTGTCAGTTTGTGCAGCGCTGTCAAACGCACGGGGCCGCCAGGGGCCGTGAAAAGCGCGGCGGGGGGCCGCGCGCTATGCCACTAATTAGGGCCCGCGGCCGCGGGTTCCCATACACACCTGCACGGTCATGTGAGGCGCGCAAAGAAAGGCAGCCGCAGCCAAGCGTGAAGCCGGCCGGGCCGCCGAGCGCCGGGGCGGCAGGGGGAGGAACGAAAAAAAAAAAAAAAAAAAAAAAGTGATGACGGCCTCGCTGTCGCTCTTGCGGTCGGACGAAACAGGGCAGCGGCCAGACCCCATCCCGGCAGGGCTGACGGTTTCCCATGGGCGGGAAAAAAAGGGAAAATGTGGAGCTGGGCAGCTGCGGCACTGCCAGGCTCGAGATTCTCCCAGAAGCTTCGTGCTGCCTGGGATGCGGCCTCGGAGCAGCAGCCCCCACCTTGTGCAGGAAACTCTTGGCTTCCAGTGCCTTGAGCTCCGTGCAACTCACTACCATGTTTCGGAGCAATGATGCTAAAGCAACTCAGTTTCGCTGATAATGAGCCAATTCGATGCATGCGCGGCGAGCAGCTCTGTGCAATAGACATGAGCCAGGAGACAGCCTCTGCATCACCCATTCAGACCCTTAGCGGCAGCAAGAAGCCCGGGGGACCCTGGCTGCAAGAGGGACGTGACATGAGGGGACCTGGTGTCATGGGGCTCAGCGTGGGGGCCACGTGCCACGGGCAGCATTATTTGCTGCTTTTATTATCCTTTTTTTAAAAAAGGAAAAAAAAAAGTCTAAAGATGGGTCAAGCCAAAGGCCAGGAGGTGATAAGTGCTTCTCCCACTCGCTCGTGCTAATGGATTCGCGGCGCTTGGGAGCAGCTGCTAATACCTTGGCCGCCTCTCAGGAGAGCCGGCGCCAGCCGAGCGGAGCAGCGCGGGCAGCCCCGGCCCCACTCCGGGCCCACGGTGCTCCCGGCCCACGGCCGGAGCCGGAGCCACACGGGGGATGCAGTGCGGGAGCCGCCTGACCCACTTGCATACATTAGCCACGTCGGCAAGGCCACGGGCCACCTCTCTTGGGCCTCGACCTGCCAGTGGTGCATGTGCTGCATGGGGCAGGGGGACACGGGCAATGCCCCAGGAGCCCAGGTATGCTCATGGCATGTGTGCAATGCTCTGGACATGCTCCTGGCACACATGCAATGCTCCAAACACGCTTCCGGCACGCATGCAATCCCCCAGGCACAATCCTGGCACATTTGCACTGCTCCAAATATGCTCCCAGTATGTGTGCAATGCTCTGGACACGCTCCTGGCATGCGTGCAATCCCCCAGGCACAATCCTGGTACACATACAATGCTCCAGACATGATTCTGGCACGCGTGCAATGCCCTGGACACATTCCTGGTACGCGTGCAATGCCCCAGACACGCTCTCAGCACATGTGCAATGCTCTGGACATGCTCCCAGCACTTGTGCATGACCCCAGACACACCCCCAGCACATGTGGAACACCATGGACATCTTCCGAGCATATACGCAATGCCCTAGACATGCTCCTGGTGTGCGTGTAATGCTCCAGCACGTATGCACTGTTCTGGGCATGCTCCCAGCACGCATCCCACTGCAGCCCCAAGTGACTGAAATCCCCTGATTTGGGATAAAATCCAGCTTCCTCTCTAAAAACCAAGCAAGGTACAGGGCAGTGGTGAGGGCAGAGAGAAAGTAGCTCGGAGATGAGCATTTTTCCCTTGAAAAGCCAGTGCGGTGACAGCAGCTTCCTCCGGGATTTGCAATGGGGCTGGCTGGGAGCTGGGGGACATGGGGCTCTGAGGAGGCTGCAGCCGGAGCCCCCTCAGATGCAGCAGAGCCCTGAAGTGCCTTCAGCCCTGCCCCCTCCTCCTCCTCCCGGCTGCCTCTGCAGCTTCCTCTTTGCAAATGTTCCTGGGCCGGGAGTCCCGGTCAGCCCTTCCCAGGGCTGCTCCCGCTCTCCCTGTTGACAGCAAACAAGGGCAGGCGGCAGCAGCCTGGGCGCAGCCGGCTTGGCTCGGCTCGGCTCGGCTCGGCCCTGCCTGCCCAGAGCTGCCCAGATGGGGCCGAGGCTGCTGGGCGAAGCCCTCACCAGCCGTCCTGACCTTGCAGCGACAGCAACACACTGCCCTGTGTCCTTGGCACTGCCAGGGCCGGGATGCAGCGCGAGCTGCCCCGAGAAGGGTGCCAGGGACCAGCACCGAGCTGCGCGCGCGGGCACAGGGACAGGCAGGGAGAGACCTGTGTGTGCTGCAGACACACGGCTGTCTGCTTGTCACCAAGCACCGTCATGCATGCCAGTACTCACAGGTCCCTCACCCCACAGCACCCACACATCCCTGCTGCGGAAAACACGGTGACCAGCAAGCACCTCTGCAGCGACCATGGGGCTGCTTTGTGTTTCAGAGACCCCGCTCAGCCCCTTCCCATGGCCATGCTCTGCGCAGAGCCCGCGAGGTGGGCAGGATGCCCCCTTTCTGGAGGCCGGTCCCCATGACCCCCAGGATCACCCCATCACCACCCTTATGGGACATACAGCCCCGTGCACCTGCATCGGAGACCCCAGCCTCAAACACGCGCAGAGGAGGGACCAGCTCCGGTGCAGCCCCCGCTCTCCCCAGCCCTGCCCGGGCTGCAGCCACCCCAAAGAGAGG